TGGGGGGGGGAGGTGGCAGGGCTTGGCAATGCAGGTGGGCAGGATTCGCAGGCTGTGGTTTTTCACTGCACACCCCCCCCCGCCATGTTCTGGTTGGCCCCTCACCTCCCTCTCTCGGTGCGGTGCAGGCAGCTCTGTCTGCTCCTGAATGCCGAGAACATCTTCCACTCCATGGCGGATATCCTGCTGCGAGAGGAGGACCTCAAGTTTGCCTCCACGATGGTCCACACCCTCAACACCATCCTCCTGACATCTTCCGAACTCTTCCAGCTGAGGAACCAGCTCAAGGACCTGAAGACGCCGGTAGGTGAGACACGGCCGGGATGGAGGTGGCGCCGGCGCCACCGCCTCTGCCTCTCCTGCCCTTTTCCTCCCGGGGTTCTGGGGCACAGGCCCCTCTCTTCTTCCTGAACCCCTTGCCGCGGCAGTAGGGAGTGCGGCCAGGGAATGGGGTGCGCCCGCAGCCTCCAGGGCCCCACCCCTCACCTCACCTGTCTACGTGCGTGTGTCTGTGCAACGGGGGAGGCGTGTTGCCGGCGCTCTGCAGGGGACAGTGGCCTGGCCGCCATGCCTCCCCCGGGACAGCCTGCAAGAGGGCCTGGGGCTCGCCTGCCTGAGCCAGGGGAGGTTTCTAAGGGGTCGGGTAGGCAGGGGGGGGTGTCTTCTAGAGGAAGGGCCTGGTGCTGTCAGAGCCGGCCCACCCCTCACGGATGCTTTCTCTCCCCAGGAGAGCCACAACCTCTTCTGCTGCCTCTACCGGTCGTGGTGCCACAACCCTGTGACCACCGTCTCCCTCTGCTTCCTCACCCAGAACTACAAGCACGCCTACGACCTCATCCAGAAGTTGTATCCTTCCAGCTTAGGGACGGGGAGGAGGGGCGGCGGGTGGGGACAGTGCAGACGCCCCCCCCCCGAGACTCCAACCCGGATGTCGGGTGGCTGCTTCGAAGGGCTCCATCCAGAGGCTCTGGGTGCCACGGGAAAGGGTTCCTTCCGGAGACCAGCCATGCCTTCGGGAAGGCTGCGCTCTCGGCACCAGAGAGGTGGCAGAGGCCACATCCAGCCCCAGCCACGGAGCCTCTTGGCACGCGCTTCCCCATGCAGCTCTGCTGGTGGGAGAGCCCGCTCGGCGGTCAGGCTTGCGGGCAGCTGTGGCAGGGAGCGGAACGGGGCAGGCTGGACCCTCCCAGGCGCCTTCTCGGCAACAGCTACCTGGCTGGTACAAGGGACACGTGCACAGCCGCACGCGCAAAGCAAGGAAAGCGAAGCAGGTGTTTCATTCCTAGAAATGCTGGCGGTCCTCCTTCCAGGCCTGAGAGGAGGTCCCACTGGAGAACTGGGGGCCCTTCCTCAGCCAGGCCGGGTGGAATCGGGGACCCCCCCCGCCCCCAATGATGCTCCAGGGCCGTCGTTACAACTTTTCACTTCCTGTCTTTCGGAGGGTTAGTGCCTCGTTCGGGCTCTTCGTGGGGCTGCAGGGGCTGAGCCGGCAGAGCAGCTGGATTCCTTAACACCTGATGCCCAGCGGGGACCTCGAGGTGACCGTCGATTTCCTGATCGAGGTGGACAAACTGGTCCAGCTGATTGAGTGCCCCATTTTTACCTGTGAGCTTCCCCTTTTTCTGTGGCTCTTTCAGTAGCTCTCTCTCTCTCTGTGTGTGTGTGTGTGTGTGTGTGTGTGTGTGTGTGTGTGTGTGAGAGAGAGAGAGAGAGAGAGAGAGAGAAAGAGAGAGTTTCCATCAGGGTCAGGGGGCAGTCAGGCGCACGCACTCCCCCCTCTCCGCCACGACAAGTAACGATACGGGCCAAATAAATAGAGCAGAAGTTATGTGCCTTTTGCTGCAAGACCCTCGGGTGTCTCTCTCCGTGGGGAGCGGGCAACCCCGCCACGGCAGTGGGCCGGACTCCCCACAGAATGTAGGTTAGCCACAGGAGGGGCATTTGTGCTGCGCCGGGATCCCATAGCCGGGAGGCCTGGGCGAAGGGACGAGGGTGGCGGGACCCCTCGGAGGCCGGAAGGGGTCCTGTGCTCTTTGCTGCTGCAGAAAGGGGAAGGGCAGCGTCGGGACTCTGCCACCCCCACTGTGGTGCCACAGCCGCCACGTGCGCCTGTCGTGACCCAGAGGCCCCTTTCCCTGCAGCGGCTGGAGGCCAGCGAGCCTTTTCCCTTGCAGCCTCCGGCAGGGGCTGACCCGAGGCCCCTTTGCAGAATGGGGGTGTTGGTGGTGGTGCCCCAAAGGAGGCCCCGAGCCTGGTGCAGCCTTGCACGGAGGAGGACAGCTCTCCTTCCTGTGGGCGCTATCCTCTCCGCCTGACCTGCCTCGAAGCGGCTGTGCTGGGGTGGAGCAGTCACGCTGGGCTCCAGGAAAGGAGAGTCAAGGGCTCGAGGGACACCCCTGAATTGGGCCCTGCCCTGCCCTGCCTTGCCCTGCCCTTAGCCAGCTCATTCACAGCTCCCTTCATGCTTCCTGCCTCTATGGCCCGGATTCTGGCTCCACATGGCAGCTCTCTTGCTGAGCCACTTTAGGGAGGGTCGGCCCCCTCGGGAGCTCCGTCCTGGCCTTGCTGCCTGGCTCCTCTGGACCCTTTGAGCCTCTGGGTTGCTTAGGGGCTGGCCTCTGCCCCACTAGCCAGCCACCCTTTGGAAGTCATCCACGTAACAGGGGACTTCTGTGGCCTTGCCTTTCTCCATGGAATCATTCTGGGACTCGCCCGCTCACCGTCCTCACCCTCACCTTGCCCAGGGGTCTGCAGCCCTTCTGGCCCAGAGGGGGGGGTCTCTTATTTCCTCCTCGTGTTGTCCTTTTATGTTTGCTGGATTGGGGGGGGAGCAGTGGTGGTGGGGGAAACAGCTTTGAGGGCCCCTTCGCTCAAGCTCCCTCCCTTTTGCCCCAGGAATATTCGCAGGATGGGGTGAGAAAGAAGGGGAGCACTTCCGAAAAGCCTCGCCATCCTCTGAGCCCCGCGCTC